TATTTTTTAACTACATCTATTTTACTTGGTCCTCTATATATAAGCAACACAAAATAATTTGTGGTCTTGATTTAAATAGTCAACACATATTCATTGGATTGGTGCAATTAAACTTGAGGAATGTCGTTCGGGGGTCACAGTTTATTTGTGTAATTAGTATTTTATAGATGGTGGATTGTGTAATGAGTATTTTATAGAGTATCTATACAAGTTGATATTTTCTTGGGGTCATGTTTTTAGGAAAAATTCTATCCATATTTTTTAAAAGAATAAACAAAAATTGTTTTGATTAGATATTCACGATTTTTTTGTTAGAATAACATATTGCTTTTAGGCACAAGCAATTCTGCAGATGGAATAAACTTGCAAATTCATGTTAGTTGACTTTTGAGTAATATTTATGGGTGCTAGTGTGAGTGCTAATTATGTATATAGTCTCAAGCATATGGAATTTCTAGGTTTTCAGTTTTAATTTTGTAGGGCTCTGACTATTAACGTTGGGTTTTTTTTATCTTTTCATTGAAATTTGTCTTCACAACTCTCTTCATATAGATAATACTTTGTTGAGCATCTATGCGAAGTGCAGGTGTGTTAAGAATGCAGTTCAGGGTTTAAGTTTAGTGTGTGTCCATATACGGTGTTTGATTTTTTCTTTTCCACAATTAATGTTGTTTTAAAAAAAATTGCACAGTGTCTTTAGATACGGGTTATCGTTAGTCTATTTTATATTACATCTGGTCAAATTTCTATCTACTTGATTTAATGATATAAATCCATTTTAAAAAATTGATTTAAAAACTCCATATGGTCCCTAATTTTAGATAACTTAATTCACACACTCTCTAATGTTAGACAATTTTATTAAAGGTGACCGGTGCATAGCACTTACTCTGAAGATAATCAAATGGTACAAAAATTTTCCCCTTTTCTTTTTTGTTCAAAACTATCATTTTCTCTACATAAATCATCAATATTAAACAACTCAATATTAGACAATCTCACTTTTCCATATCTACCTATCTCTAAAATAAATGTTATACAATCAATACTTGACTTTTTATACTGTAGAATATCTTAATACATGGGGATATATCTACTCATTCTATACTAGGATTGTCTATCAATCAATGTGTTCTCTTTTAATGGTGTTAAAATTTGTTCAATTAATATTTATTGGGTTGGATCCATCTAGTCTATAGTATTGATAGAATAGTGATGTAAAAAATTTACTTTCTTTATGTATATGGTTTATGATGAAAATGTTACAGAAAAATTATAAAAAAATTCTTCTATTTTTCAAAACTACCCTTACCAGGGCCGGCCCTAGGCCTAGGCCACTTAGTTGGCCACCTAGGGCCCCAGTTTTTGAAAATTTTTGGGACCCCTGTTAAGAGTTTTAATTCTGGATAAATATATTTTGGATAGACTAATTTAAGAGGGCCCAAATTTTACTAATAAGTCCATTAAAACTTCAAGAACTTACTTAGAAAATTACTCCATTTGTCAGCTATTGTAGGCTGCTAGACTTCTTGTCAACTATAAAAGATTACTAGATTTCTACAACAAGGAAGGTAAATATGAGTACAGATGTCTCTCTCTTAACATCTCTCTCTCTCTCTCTCTCGTTTGTGAAGTCTGAATCTAAACAAAGAAAGAACATCAAAGTTCTATATTTTCTAATCTCTTGTAGTTCAACAAGAGTTGGAATTTTTTGGGCTCAATCTACTATAATAAATTGGTTTGTTCAATTGTTCTCTTATTTTTTATTAGAAATTTTATTGAGATTTTTAGAAGTTTAGTTTGCTTAGAATTTTTAATATTTTGATTTCATATTTCTTATATTTTTGTTGATTTAGAATATTTCTTTTTTTTGCCAGAAACTTCAATGCTTTAATATTGATAGTTGATTGTTGCTTGTGAATTTTGATGTTGTGAGTGTTGTGACAAAGCCAATTGTTTTGCTTTCTCGCAGTACCAGGTTATGTTGTTCTTTAAATTTAATTTTTGTAAATTTTGTGTTATAGTTTTCATTGTTGTAACTGCAACTTATATCATTAGTATGTCTACTCAAAGATATGATTCTAGATGTGAAAAACTTAAAAAGAAGAGAAAACAAGATGAATTTATTGAATCTCAAAAAAGAGCACTCGATAAATTTATTATTAGTGATAAACCAACTACAACAAAAAATTCAAATGATGATTCAACGATTGAACTATTAGATAATAAGGCAAAATCAACAGAATACCAAAAAGATCTAAAAGAAAATGAAATTGGTAAAAAATGCGAACATGTTAGTGAATAAAAAATTGGTAAAGAATGTGAACATGTTGCTAAACTATTAGATTCTATTCCAATAAATATCTATGATCTAGGACAACAAAAAATATCGACATAAAATTAAGAGACTTATTAGTTTTTTTTTTTTTTTGATCAAAAGAGACTTATTAGTTGAAAGAGGTCCTATAAGGGAGAATGATTTTGACTTTCCTAATGATGAAAATAATAGACATATTTCTATTGCACATTACAATCGAAAATTGTCAAACGGAGAAAAGCATGATAAAAAATGGTTAATTTATTCAAAAGATTTAGATAGAGTATATTGCTTTTGTTGTAAGTTATTCAATTCAAAACCTAGCACAAGTCAATTAGTTAATGAAGGAACTAAAGATTGGAAAAATCTTAGTTATAAGCTCAAAACTCATGAAACAAATAATGAGCATATCACTAACATGAATTCATGGGTTGATTTAGAAATAAGATTGTCAAAAAATAAAAATATTGATAAAAATATTCAAGAAAAAATTAACAAACAGAAAGATTATATTAAAAAATCTTGCTAAAAATAATTTGGCATTTTGTGGGAAAAAATGAGAAAATATATCAAGATAATAACGAAAATTTTTTAAGTTTAATTGAAATGATTGCGGAATTTGATCCAATAATACAAAAACATGTTCGACGAATTCAAGACGCTAAAATTCATAATCATTATCTCGGGTATAAGATACAAAATGAATTAATACAAATGCTAGCTTTTGAAATTAAAAGTGAATTCATTAATAAGATTAAAGAATATATTTTTCAGTAATACTTGATTGTACTCCTGACGCAAATCATCAAGAAAAAATGACTCTTATACTGCGATGTGTTGATATTTCAACAAGTCCAATAAAAATAGAATAATATTTTTTAGAATTTTTGGAAGTAAATGATACCTCTGGGAAAAGCCTTTTTGATGAACCTATAAATGTAATTAAAAAACTTGGACTTGATGTAAATGATATAAGATGACAAGAATATGATAATGGATCTAATATGAAAGGAAAACACCAAGGTGTACAAAAAAGACTACTAAATATAAATCCAAGAGCGTTTTACACACTATGTGGATGTCATAATTTTAACCTCGTACTTTGTCATATAGTTAACTCTTGTCCTAAAGCCATATCTTTTTTTGGAGTATTATAACGTATGTACTCATTATTTTCTTCTTCAACAAAACGATGAAAAATTTTATAAGATAATATATCTATGTTAACTCTTAAATCATTATCTCAAATGCGATTGGAAAATTGTATGAAAAGTGTTAAAGCAATCAATTATGAGACTTCAAAAATACTAGATGCTTTAATTCAATTAGTAAGTATTAGTGAAAATCCTAAAACAAGGAGTGAAGTCACATGCTTAGCTACATATGAGATTGAAATTTTTGAATTTTTATTGGATATGAATATTTGGTATGATATATTATTTGTTGTTAACACAATTAGTAAAAATTTACAATCCAAAGACATGCATATTGATGTTGTTATTGATCAATTAAAATGACTTATTTCTTTTTTGGAATCATATAGAGAAAATAGATTTTACTTTTCTTTGATTTCATTAAAAGAGATTGCACTTTAAATGAAAATATATTCACTATTTCAAGAAAAACGTAAAATTTTTAGGAAAAAATAATTTTGTGATACAATTGAGAATGCATTAACACTATCAGCTGAAGAATATTTTAGAATTGAGTATTTTTTATTTATACTTGATCTACCTATTTTTTTGATCAAGAGTAAATTTGAACAATTCAGAATATATTAAAATATTTTTGGTTTCTTATTTTGTTTAAAAAGTTAAAATCCTTAGATGATGATAGTTTGAAAAGTTATTGTCTTAATCTCGAAATTTTTTTGAAGCATGACTTATTTTCTAATATTTATGATTTAGATTTATTTCAAGAATTGATTGTATTAAGAAAAGTCCTACAATCTGAAATTAACACACCAGCTAAAACCCTTTGTTACCCAAACAAAGGTTATTGGATATATTCAAAGGTTAGGGTGTGTTCTGGTAATAGGGTAGGATAGGATAGGATAGGATTTCTTTTTTTATATCTTAATCCATCCAAGTCAAACTCACTCGTCCACTTTAAAACTCTAACCCAATGTTATATCTAATCCTAAACTTTGTTTGGAAAACAAATGTATAATTCAGTGGGCCCCATAAATTACACAAATAATTTCGTAGTAATTTACCATTCTACCGATGACTTTATCCATTCCAATCCAAACCAATCTTAACCTATGTTTGGTTAACCCATCCAAGCTTAATAAAATTATACATTTTCCACATATACATAAAAACATATAAAAATAAGGAAAGTTAAATATATACATATATATATATATATATATATATATATATATTGGTATTTTTTCTCCCAAACAAATCTTTTTTTTAACAGAAAAATATTTATTTATTTACAAAAAATAGAGTCATTAGAAGAAGCAAACAAGGCAAAGCAACCTTATAAAACCAAACTAAAAATAAGGCACAGTCACCTTATCAAGTAAAATGTCAAAAAGACTACCAGCAAAACCATTCAGTCCATAAGCTCCATTTCAGCTATCTTTCCATCTTCAAAATATCTAGCAAATCGACACTAAAGCAGCAGCAACAGATCGAGTATTCCCCAAAGCAGCAGCAACAGATCGAGTATTCCCCAAAGCAGCAGCAACCTCAAAGCTGGAGCAACCTCACAAGGCAGACGCAACTCCACAGAGTAGTCAATACATTATAGCATAATATTTTTATTTTTTTTTTCAAACAAATAAACACTTTATTTCATTTTGCCAAAAAAATTACAAGAAGCAATCCCCATTTATCAGTCATGAAAAAATACAAAGAATTATAATCTTCATCCTAAACGCCTTGACCCCTTCTTGATCCTGTAACATCAGTAGCTTAGCCTGCCATGGAATGACCAAGTCCAAGGAGAAAATCAGCAGACCAAATCTGCTAGACAGCCCAATTTGCCAAAAAATCAGCCAATCTGATTTTTTCCCCCAACTGGCTTTAGCAGGTTCTTCTGATTTTTTCCCTCAGCTGGCTTTAGCAGGTTCTTCTAATTTTTCCCAACTTGATTCACTAGTTTTGATCCCTTCCATTTTTTGATTGTCTATGTCAATATCAAATTCAGCACTATCTTTGAATACAGGCTTACCAAAACTAGAAATATGCTCTGGGGACAAACCCAATTCCAAATTTTCATCGTCCAGTTCAAGGTCACCAATTTCTGCACCAAGACAAGCAGTACTCATTTCTTGGCCTTTGGAAATGCTCCTCACCAAATGAAGGAAGTAATAAATATCCACTCCATCTTGTTGTTTCAACCCAACCTTAAAAAGAAACCCCCCAAGTGGCATATATTAATGCAAAGCATACACAAATGTGGAAAATAATGACAAATAAGAATCTTTACATTGAGGTACCATCAGGCTTTCTGAGAAATCTTGCACCCAGGTAGTTATTAGCCCCATTATGTACACTGCCTCAATTTCTCCATATTATGATGGGTGACATGCTCAGGATAAGTTAAAAGTTGAGTCATTATGATAGGAATTGCTACCTGGACTTCATAAACACGTTATCCAAAACAAATAAGCACCCAAAAATGAATTGAAAAAATTACAAAATAGCACCACTGTCTTCCCCAAAACCATTTGAACTAATCCTTGAGAAGCAAATTCAATCAAATACAACCTTGAGCACAAATTAAGAACATGGCAAACGAATGCGACACACAACATAATTAAACCCACACATCCAACATAATACATAAACCTACACTAAAAACATACAACAATACTAAAATGATCAAATAGCTCTGCCTCTATCGAATGATCTATGAACTAAAGAAATAAGTCATTGGCATTTAGGCTCACCTGGGCGAGTTTGCCCAAGTACATACACCCTAAGTTTTTGTTACATGACAAAGGATAAGGTCAATTATCATCAATAACTATCACATCATCTTCCCTCCTCCTCGAATTTACTGATGGGCATGATCCAACGCTGCTATCAATGTGTTATTGACTTGGGGTTGGTACATCATTCTTGAAAATAATTTCCAATATTGGGAAGTTTGGACAATGATCCAAACAATAGTTACAAGCAAAACCATCATCCTGTAATAAATGTGTGAAGTTAAAATATAGAACCATAAATGTTTCAAGTAATAAAACAATGGCACACTGACACGAACATGAAACAAATTAATTAGAATCATGTACTTGAATGAAATCCAAACCACCAGACTCTAGGCCTTCCAACAACACACGTAGTTTGTGTGTCCCAAACAAACATTCCACTGTTTAACATCTCTACAATGCTTTTATATTGACGCTCCCGGAAAATGATTACCCTCAACATATCACTCAATGACAAATGAAACCTAGGCATCCTTCGTCGTATACATGTAAACAGTGCATCAAGTATAGGTAATTTCCCGCGATTCTTAAAATCAACTAATAACTCTAACATGACATCAACTTCATCCTCAATCATGTCGGGTAGCTTCATTGTGTACTAATACCACAACAATTACCAAAAAAAAAAATTATTTTCAAGTCATCATCCATAACCATACATACATAGGATAACATAATAAGTGAACAACATATAAGCAAAACATTAAAGTAAAACATCTAATTAATAAGTCAAACATCCACATCATACATAAGTTGCTACAAAAAATGTGACACATGGGTCAACCAAAATTTACTTCACAAGCAGGGCACGAGTAACTTTACATACAACCTTGATAAACATCTAAATCAGGCCACAATATGCTATCAACCCAAACTGCTCGCTCTTCCACTGACAAGCTAAAGAAAATGTCAATTTTTATGTTATCTGAAGCAATTTTGTATGTTGTCTCTTGGCGGTGTGCCATTGTAAGGCCATCTATTTTTGACAACTCTACTAGGATGGCACGTCTACGTGTAGATGCATCTTGCTCGTAGCCTACTTTCTGTGCAATGCTTGCTAGTTGGTTGTCGCTTGAAACAACGTAATCACCAAATACCTTACATATCTGGGAAAGACTTGTAGCCATTGAATCGCTTAGATCACTAGATTTTCTTTTTTTTTTTTGTCTTACATGTCTATGGGGTGACATTCACACCCTCCCTACCCAGAGTTACACTTTGAGAGTGGCGAACAACATCTGTTCCCTTAGTTGGATGAACCTCTAAGTTGGCATCATCAGGGACATCCCCAGCAGCTGAATTATCTTCAATCATTTCCTCTAGTCCTTGGGCAAACTCACATGTTGCCCTATCTTTCCCAAATATAAGGACTCAATCATCATAGAATGGTCATGATCTACCACGCATCCCCTTCACATTCTTGTCTTTCTACATTGTCATTAGAAACATTAATAGGGCATAATATATACAAGTTATCTAGGATTATTATTATTAATGGATGCAAGTGAGTAATAAAATCTTCAAGTACTCCACTCATATATCTTCACCATAAACATCCATTTTCTTCTCGCGATCATTCCATCCAAAATCGAATGTGCTTAGCATTGAAAACAAAGAGTTGTACTATTTTTTCCATGCTTTGATCTTCGACTCAATATGTGGTGATGCCCTAAGGTCAGCCGTTGGAAATGCTTCCTTTAAATTGTTCTCTAATGTTTGAAGATAACACTTCCATCCGTTGACACAATGTTCTTTAAATGCTTGAATCAGAAAAGTCTCCTCCGCAACTATCCATGTTCAGCGTGGACCTTGGCTACTGGCACCAACACTTTACATGACCTACTTACATACGTACAAACCAAAGACCATTAAATAACCGACAAACACACGAATATATATTACTTGGGTAAAGTAATCATAAGAAAACACAAATAGTTGACATTAATTCTCCCAAATTAAATACATACAACTTAATTGGTCTGTTACTAAAAAAATGGTAAAGCATTTAGCCACCCCTACTCTCATACCATTCATTGTACATATTGTTGGCTAGTTGGTTTCTAAATGCATTCCATTTATTAGATGTGTCAACCATGTCGATGACATCCGATTCTATATCACCATGACCATCGGCTTGACCATCTTCTGGCAACTCATCTTCCACTAGGTCAAAAGACATTTCATTTCTAATCAAATTATGCAACAAGCAACATGAAATAATGATTCAATTGTGTGCGTACTAGGTAGTGCCAAAGAGTCCTTAGGATAGCCCAGCCATTTTTGAGTAAGACAAAACAACATTCTATAACATTCCTAGTCATTGAATGCCTAAGGTTGAAGAGTTCCTCAACATTACGAGGTGCAACTGTCCCTTCGGCCCACTATTGCACATAGTATCTTTGGCCCCTAAATGGAGCTAAGAACCCTTCCCCATTTGTGTAACCGGCATCCACTGGGTAGTAGATGCCTGCGTAGAAATTGTGGTTTTGAAAGAACACTCCTACTAACTGTTAGAAAATATTACTAGTGGTCATAAATAACTTACCTCAAGCCATTGCAAAGCCATTCCTCCTCGTTACCGCATCTCGTAGTATCCTAGAATCAACAGCTGACCCTTCTCCCAACCGAGCAAGACATAAATGAATTTCATATCTTTGGAGCACACACCAAGGACATTTGTTGAAATGTCACCATGTCTATTCCTATATCTAGCTTGGTGAACCATTGATACTCTTGCTCTAACGTGCGTGTCATCTAGTGCACCTGCGCAATTCTACAAATAAAAAATAATGAAACAAATTAGACGGTGTTACCATTCATCCAAATTCTATCCAATGACATATGAAACAATTGTAAGGTTCCGTTACCTTAAACCACTACCACTTGTTATCTATATAGTCCTCAGTTACTGGATTGGGTCTCGTTAATAGCAGACGATGCAACTTAATAACTGACTTCAACACAACATTGAAATGTCTGCTTACAGTTTCGCTTAATCTAAGAAAGTTGAACTTTATTGTCCTATTCTTCACATCATGACCCAATATAGTTATGAACATAGCCACCATTTCTTCAACACTTACATATCTCGTGCGATTTAAGCCACCTACTTGTTCCACCAAATTACAAAGAATGCGAAAAGTGTGTCTATTCATCCTCAATTATTCTATGCAATTAATGTCACTATCACCAATTAGATGGTGCAAGTGTTCAAGTTGCAATCGATTTCTAGACATGCAGAGATCTGAAAAGTGAGGATAAATTTTTCAGTTTTGCCGGTAGGGCATTATTCCTGCACCATTTGTCGGTAGGACACTACATATGCATCATTTAAGAATAAGGCATATTTAAGAACATAATTTGAGTATGTCATAGAAGAGAAACATGCTTAGAATGTTAAAATACACCTACTGTGCGAATTTGAGCCAAAACAGAAACAGTTTCAAAAATTGAACCGAAAGGGTATCCCGGGTAGCCTAGGTGAGACAGGTCAAACCCGGCCACTAGCGAAAATACATTTTTTTGGGCTGAGAAGGTTCAGTACACGTTTTTGGAGGAAAAGGGAAGAAAAATCTTAAGTTCTTCAAGCTTCAAGCCACCAAAACTTAATCCTAGGTCAAGATTCTTACAAGACTTCCTTCTAAGAAGTTGTTCCTCTCAACAAGAGCTATATTCTCACCGATCGGTTCGGCTATAAAGCGAACACAACTTCCTTAGTTTGAGAAAAATCATTTTAGGTATGATATTTTGCTAAGTTGGGAATAGATTTAAGTTTTCTTGTCTTCCTATGTGTTGATTGAATAATTTAGGTGTTTACTTAATGTTAAAAAATTATTTAGTTGGTAGTTGCTTTAAAAACTTAGAATTAGTAGTCTAAATACTTTTGTGTTCTTTGAGTTTCTTAAAAATTTGTTGCTATGGTGAAGGTTTATATTGCTTATGTGATGAATTATTATATTATAACTTATGTTCATGTAGAGAAACTCTTGTGGTTTGAGAGTTATGATTTATTATATGAGTTGGTAGTTTGTGTATTTTGTAGTTTCTTTGAGAAATTGTGAAAATAATGAATATGAAGTTTGATCATATGTTTAAATCCATTGAATGGTGCTTCACATTTGTGTAGATAAGGTGTTTGATAAAATGTTTCATATGAATATGAAGTTTGATCATATATTTAATCTATTGAATGGTGTTTCACATTCATCTAGATAAGGTGTTTGATGAAATGTTTCATAGAATTTACATTGAGAAAAATAATGGCATCTTGGCATACATGAATCCTTGAAACATAGTGTGGGTTGAGCAATTGGTGCTAAGCATTATGAGGGTGTAGATCCTGTGGTGAAAAACTCAAAATCTGGCCAATGACAGTACTCGCGGGCTGATGGAGCTAACCGTGAAACGAGACATGGGTGGCACAAAGTTGCATGAGTGTGTCATGTATATTGACATTGCATAACATTGAAAGATTATGGGGTTGTAGCTTTTAAAAATGTACACTTGCACATGTCATGCCTTAAATTTGTTCCTAGCGTTAGCATTTTGTCATTACCAGTAATTGAACTGACCCATTCGTGGGATATCATATTACAGATGACGCTCCCGATACTTGAGACTTGAGAAAGTCTTAGAGGAAGGAGAGGAAAGGAACTTGAATGTATATTTGGCCATTGGGTATATTTTGTATGTATGGGCATAAGCCCAAATGACTTGTATTCTAGTTTGAAAAAGTAGTGGATTAAAGGTCTTGGACCATTTTAATGTGTAAGAGTGTAAACTCAATTGATATTTGGGATGTCTTTATTTAATGAGTATCATATGTGTATATTGGGGCAATTAGATGTATATGCTGAAAATAAGAGATGTATGTTTAATTTACATGAGTTGTGGCCACCGAGTGAGAGTGGATTGTAATATAATTATGCATATAAAATATTGTGAATATTAGGTGGGAAAAAAACTTAAAAACAAAGGAGGTTATATCGAAATTTTATGAAAAAATTAAAAGACTTGTTAAGTGTGTAAAATATCTTTTAAATAGGTGGGAAAGATGTCAAAAGGGGGGGTTTAAAAACCTTGAAGAAATAGGCTAAAAATGGAAGAAAAGTGGCTTGAAAAACTTTAAAAAACATGAAAAATGAATGAAAAACCAATTTATCCAACCTAATGACCTTTCATTTACTTTTCTTTTCTATTTTCACTCACTCCCCGGGTTGGTGGAAATTCGGGGCGTGACAAGACAATTGACTTGATGGTTGTGGTTTTGATTGTCTCTCCATTTCCCACAACACAACTATAACGACCACAAACAAATAGAACATTATTATCATCTCTCTTCACGTCCTATCCAACACAACAATCAATCCAGCAATGTCATCAATATGGTTTGGCATTTTATCTGTTGAACGCCCTTGCATTTTTTTGTACAATAGTCACGTCAATATTAAATATAGTATTCATGTAACACAATTGAAGCTAAGCAAAAGAAAACATTAATGCCTAGCATCGTGCGCAATATAATAGCAAACGTTGCAATATAAAATTCAAAGCATGGAACTACACATTACACCATACCGAGCAATTTAGTGCGCAATATGATAGCAAGAATACTCACAAATTAAGATTTAGGAGCAAATACGCATTGCACACAAGAACAAATAGAACATGTGAAAAACTTACAATTTTGTTGAACTTCTCAATTGTCGCCAAAGAGTTGTATTGTGCCAAGCTTAATAATATTTCTGGACCCTTCACTCCTAAAAGTAGAAAAAAAAAACAAATTAGATACATACTGGACCTAAAAATTGGCACAAATAATATACATAAATAGTTGAATTTTGAAAACAGATTTCAAAAAAAAAAAGGTAATCAAAGAAATAGGTTAAACATCACCCCTAAAGAGTTACGCAAAAAAAAAAGTCACCAAAATTAACCATGAAAATATCTAGGCTTCGGATGTGATGATGATTCCATTAAGATTAAAAATAAAAAATAAAAGAAGTCAAATACTAGTTTTGTAAAATTTCATATTAAGAGACAAATTGAAATAAGAAAGGAAAATAAGAAGGAACACAACCGATATAGATGGTTTAGTACATTATGTCTATATCCACGGACTTACACCCTATGAATTACATCTATGTATTATTGATGGTGAGTGTTTACATATGATTCAACCCTATTATTGTTCCCTCATGTCTATCTTTCTTTCTCCCTATTTTGACAGTGCAAATTTCAAGAGCCAAGTTATATCACACATGGTGCAAATATTTATGGAATCATTGATAATAAAAAATTAGCAGACTTAAAAACAAAAGGAAGATTAAGAAAAAAGAAAAGAAGCCACAATATTGGAATATAATATACTCACAATTGAATCTGATGTGAAGTTAAAATACTGAAACAAAATTGCCAACACCAAAAAGACAATCCCAACAACAATTCCCAATGACTTGGGACTGAAAAATACAAAAGAGCATTGGTTTCTATCTTGATCAAAAGAAGCTAATGAACTAGCATATATCATTTATAGAACTCAAATTTTGGTAATCAAATAAAATGATGTAACAGTCAAGTAAGCTCCTCTTTTCCAGTTGAAACTGACTATGTTATAAATTTCCAACAACAAAGTTTGTCCAAAAAAAACCCCTATTGCTATCACATACATGCAGTACCAATAAAATTCTTTTATGTAAAATACATTCACACATATAGGACAAAGTGACCCACAATCTATCTAAAAACTAGAATAAACTACTCAAAGCCTACAAAAAACTCTTGTTGTTGTGTTTTTAGCACTGATGGAGCATATGAAAGTCCATCTAACCAGATGAATCCGTACTACGAAGGTTCTAACTCAATGCAAAAATAGAAAATAAGAAACATCTAAACCATCTAAACTCTCAAATCAAATCAAACAAACTTGTAACCTCTTTGAAATGTGAAATGGATAGTGGAGATTTTTAGTAAAAGTTAACCTGGGTACCTAGTTCAAGAATGAAACATCCATTCCTAAGCCTCTACCGAATGTGAAATGGGTACTAGCAGATCTGTTCCTATCACCCTCTGTTCGTCGCAGATCTGTTAAGATCTAAATCAGTAAAGATCTAAATATGTTCGTCAAACTCAGATCCAGACCTGTTCGTCAAACAGAGGGTGAACAAAAGCAGATCTGGTCTTCGGTGTGTGTTCTTCATTCTGCCCAGAGAGATCGAGAGAGAGAGACACACACATAATAATAGAGATAGAGAGAGCAATGAGAAACTTACCTCAAGAAGAAGCTATGTTCTTCGTTTTGTCCAGCGATGTCGTCTTCTTCATCGACTCTATGAAGAAGCTCATACCCACAGATGCGTAGAAAATTAGAGGACCTCCCCAATGCCACAATCGTCTTCGCCTCTGTGCAACCCTTGGACAAGCTTAGCTGACACAGGAGAAAGAGAGAAGAAGAATTCGTCGCTGGACAGAACGTGGAGAAAAAGAAAGGGGCAAATACGTCTTGAAGGGGGCTAACCAATTTCCTGGGGGTTAACATTCAACTGTAGCACCGGGTCAAGCGGTGACTCGGGATTTGTAACCATCTTTAATCCACTATCCAAACACCTCCTAGAAAGTTTTAAAGTGTATCAGAGAGTTTGGCTTGGATGGGTTAAGGTATAAAAAATGAAATCCTACCCTATCCAATTATGTTATCCAAACACCCCCTGACTTATATAAACCGTTTTGATGATTTTCCAAATGCATGTATAAATTTTAGAATATTATTAATAATACCGATAATAGTTGCTTCGGCGAAAAGAAGTTTTTCAAAATTTAAATTAATAAAATTTTATCTCCGATCAATTATGTCACAAGAAAGATTAAATAGATTAGTTATATTATCCATTGAAAGAGATATATTAACAAAACTTGAATATAAAAATTTAATCAATATTTGTATATCTCAAAAAGTTAGAATAATAGCTTTTAAATAAATATATTTTAATAATTATTTCCAATAGTAAGGCCCATTTTGTATTTTTGCCTAGGGCCTCCAAATTTGTTGGGTGGCCCTTGATCTTTACCTATGTTGAATACAAACAACCAAAACATAAAAAAAAAAAAACCAAAAATTAAACTCAAAGCCTATGGCTCGTTTGGTAACGTTTACAGTTTTTGATTTTCTAAAAAACGAAAAATAGAATTAAAAACGAAAAATGTTTTTTTTTTGTTTTTGAAAATCATCTCTCGTTTACAAAATGATGACAAGAAAAAAAATAAAAACAATTATCAAATGAGTTTTTTTTTTTTTGTGTTTTCTCCAAATATCAAAATAAAAACGAAAAAATAAACATTACCAAACGGGACCCTAAAAACCCATAAATTATTGCGAGTGAGAAAAGACTTTTTGCCCCACCTTCACCTATCTCTCCTTCAACTAGTTTTATTTTGTCATTGGAAAGGTCATCGGGAATGTCGACTTGGCATTTCCTATATTGGTTTAAACTTTGTTGAGGGCTTTTTGTTTTTTAGTTTTTTAAAAAATATTGTCGTTCCATTAGTTATCCATATATTCAAAAGGATAAGAGATGATTATGAGCAAAAAAGTTCAAGAGTGAATAGTAACCCACATTTTTACAGGAAAAAAAGAAATTTTCCTACTAATTTTGCAGGAAACCAAAATATGCTGTACAAGAAAATTTAATAGGTCCCACTATCTCACTTTTTTGTAATTTCTCTTTTTTTTTTAATTTTTTTTAGGTAATGCTATACATACCAAAAAAGATTACCAAAAAAGTAATATTATGCTTATCAAAAATTTTACTAAAAGATATATTTATCAAATGAGTTGGCAGCTCCAGATCCAATCAAAAATATTTTGATCAGCATTTGGTGGGTTTAAGAGTGATCTGAATCTGCTAACATATTTGATAAACATATTTTTTGATAAAAAATTTGGTATAAATAGCATTTACGTAACCAAAAACAACTTACCAAATGAGTTGGCATCCTATAAGTGACAAGTAGTATGCCAACTCATTTGGTAAGTAACATTCTCGTAATATTTTTTGGTATCTATAACATTACTCTTTTTTTTTTAGTGTCTTTCGACATTTAGTTGCTAACTAAACGGAGCTAAATCCCCTGTCATGATTTGGAGATGAAATTGTGTCTACCCAGGGGCGGAGTCAAAAATTTTGTTTAGGATGGGCACTTTAATTATGCACTCTAATTTTTTTTCCTTCTAACCAATCACACTATATAACATATTTATATTTATTATATTATATTTGATATATGAATTCCATTTAACATAAAAAATTCCAAAAATATATATATATATATTGTCAGTGCAGAGCCATGTATATCTATGATAGAGGTAAAATATAACTAGTATAAAAAAATATTAAGCCGAAATTAATACAAAAAAATTCAGTTCAAGAATAAAAAAAAGTAAGAATCAACACTAAATTATTGTGAAATAGTAAATTCAATTTTTATAGCCGAAACAAAATCTTAACAAAAAGACACAGAATAATTTTTTTAGGACATTTTAACCTAATTATATATTTCAATAAAATATAATTTTTTTTAAAATCTCTAAAATATTTTGTATATGAATTAAATGTAAATTAATTTTTGTATTTTATTAGGTTATAAACTACTATTACTAAAAAAATGGTAAATAAAAACTAAAAATTATTCTTAAAAAGTAACGAACATTGTGTTAGATAAAGAGAAATATTGTATTTCGTCAATATACAAATAAAACATTGACTCAATCCAAAACTAACATATTTATTTTAGAGGGTTAGTGGTCCACTAATTTATTAAAAAAAAAAGACTAGAACCATTATTAAAATTTCTACAAATTTAGGGGGTAAATTTAATATATGAAATGATTTTATAGGTTGGTGCAAGTAAGGACAAAAAACTCAAGGAACTGAGTTTCTCGTGTATTGAATTTTTTTCTATTTTTTCTCTTTTTCTTGTGGTTGGGCAGTGAACAGCTGGAAGTGAGTGATACAGAGAGAAAAAAAAAGAAAAGAAAAGATAGGTTTTAGTCAAGTAAGCCAAAAATTTTATTGTTTAATGATGGTGTGCCAAAAGTTTTGTTTTTTATGTTGAGCCAAAAATTTTGTTTTTAATATTGGGCTAAAAATTTTGTTTTTTTAATAGGTTTAGGTGGATTGTGATAGGTCAAATATTTGATTTTTTAATAAGTTTGGATAGAAAATAATGAATTCAATTTTTTTTATTTTAAATAGACTTAATTTTTTAATTATTTTGAATAAATAATGTGGACATAATATAAATAAGGGGAACACATAATATATATGTATAAATATAATATATATATATATATATATGTCTAATTAATAAAAAAAAAAAATTGAGGGGGGCACGTGCCCACCCTGGCCATACCTCCCTCCGCCAATGTGCCTATTCATAAAAATACGAGTAACAATATTTAGATTTAAAGTATTGATTTAATTTATTAATTTTGTAATATAATTTTATTATAATCATTAAATTAATACTAGTTCTAAATTATTAATATTTAATGAAATTTGCAACTAATCTAAAAATTATAATAAATTAGTTGAACAAATTATTAATTTCAAATAAGGTTACTCTATAAAATTATAAATACCCTGGGTTATCACAGAGCCATTTTGAATTTTCCAGGAGAGTTGAGAGTCGTGTAATAATAGCTAGTTCTCATGCTCTGGAACCTCAAGATTTTAAAACCTCGAATCTCCACTCCTTTGCCGATCACTCCTGCCTAGCAATCCATCTCCCAGGTTCGTTATTTCTTACGTAGTCTCTATGTTCTGGCTCGGTATACGATGTATCTATGTGTATTGGTCTTAGGCGTTGAGTTTTAATAATGATATGATCAGATTTTGGGGTTATGAAACATGTTCAAAAGCTTGGGTTGATTAAGTTTTGAGATTACTTTAAACACTGAGAATCTAAAATCTTTAGTTTAATGAGCGAAATTGATTTTTTTTTTTTTTTGTGGTCGATTATTGTGCAGTCGTTTGCAATTAATCTCGTTTTAGGGTTTTTGTTGTGGTTTATATTGATGATTGGTGCTTCATAGCTTCATCTTGAATGGTTGTTTATGGAAAGTTAAAATCTTGACCGGTTATGTATGAGAAACTCAATTTAATTATAGGGTTGACTTGCTCGAAGTTACTTGGATTTGTTTGAATCGTCATCAAAATTTGGAAATAAATAGGAGCTGAAAATTGTAGCCTACACTAGTAAATATAGAGAAGAGAGGATTTGGGTGGTTGAGTATCAAGTATAAAGCCTAATGAATCCTTTGTATCTGATTGAATAAGGGAAGGATTTGATTTTTGGTACAAAATTCTTGCATTTTTTGATAGTAGGGAACCAGTGAAGGTCCCTTCAAATCAATCTGGATGACTCAGGACACTAAGTTAAGGAAGGTGGTAAATTTATTATATGAAAATTCCTAATCTGAGGGCAGCTCATTGAGATTTCTCTTTTATCGCAATAAAACCCCTCAATCTGTTTCTTTGGATTAATTTGGAAGGGTTAATTGTATGATTTCGACCTCTCATCTCAGTGATACTTTCAGTTAGCAAAGACACCGTTGGTGACTATTTATGTCATTGGATACGGGCTACATTTTATTACTATTATTTGTCTTTTCTCATAGACCATATTATATTTTTCTCCCCTGATGAATTGCCATAGTTGTATTTTCCATCATCATGGATATGACTATTGTTTCTCACAGGCAGGATCACCAAATGTTGAAGGATAGAAGTGAATCCTTATTTTCCAATGCATCCACAGGATCTTCTTATTCTTGCGGCGCCGAACATGATGATCAGTGCAAATCTGAAATTCCATCTCTACCGGTTAGGGATGAAGAGGAATGGGAAGAAGCTAGATGCCCCATCTGCATTGAACCCCCTCACAATGCTGTCCTCTTACTATGTTCATTTTGTGACCAACATTGCCACCCTTACATGTGTGACACAAGCTACCGCCACTCAAACTGTCTTGATCAGTTTTGCAAGTCATCTGGAGCAGCACTATCAACAGAAGAAGTTATTTCAATCACAGCTGAAGAAAGAGAAAGTGAGGAGTGGATGTCATCACCCAGAACGAGGTATAATGGGAAACAGCTACCCCAGCTTGTGTGCCCTCTCTGCCGGGGACAGATAAGTGGGTGGGTTGTGATAGAGGCTGCTCGCCATTTCATGAATTCCAAACCAAGGAGTTGTTCACTTGAGACGTGTGATTTCAATGGAAACTATTCAGAACTCAGGAAGCATACTAGGCTTGAACATCCCTCTGTCTGCCCATCGGAGGCTGATCCAAAGCGTCTACAGGACTGGACAACGCTGGGGCGTGAAAGGGATTTTGAGGACTTCTTCAGTGCAAATAGTCAGTGGTTTGAAGATGAATGGAGTGACGAGAGCATCTTTTCGTTTATTGGAGGGACGGTGATGGACCACGAAAGGGATCTAGAGGGCATCCAAAGTGCATACCAATCAGGGTTTGGAGATAGCTGGCTTGATGATAGCGATGGGCTTATGGATCATGTTTTGCACCCTTCCCGGTTCTGGCTCAATTTTCTTTCATTTTCTCCCTTTGTGGAGCCAATCGAGTTAGTTAGCTCAAGTGGTGGTGACCTAAATGGTAACAGCAGATCAATATGGTCAAGGGCAACACATTATGCACAGTCAGTCACTCCACAGGGTAGCAATATTTCACAGGGGAATTCACGAGGATTGGGGCAACAACCCCAGTTGGACCAAAGACAATCAAGAGAAGCAAGAAATAGTGGCGAATCTGGTAACAGCAGATCAACAAGGTCGAGGGCAACTTATCATGCAGCGACCTTCCCTGCTTCTAGACGGAGCAGCAATTTTTCATGGGGGAATTCACGAAGTCTGCGACAACACCGCCGGTTGGACCAAAGACAATCAAGACGAAATCACTAGGCATGACTGCAGTGGATGGCTTGTTTAGGTCGCACACCGGGCATGTGTTGGTCAAGATGCTCGGATTTCGGTTTTCGCTCTTTCTACTTTCTTCTTGATTTGCATGCCCTGAAGGGTGAGATTTTTAGAGCATAAAGGATTTGAATTTTTTGATTGCTCATGCTTCTTTGTTCATAAAAATAATCATTATATTTTTGTTAATTCTTTGTCTAGGCTTGATCTAAAGATGGTTTTTACTACTCTCTTCACTAGAAACCCGAAATGTGTGTCTGACATATGAAGTTTCCGTCTGGGAATAGAGTCCATATTTTATTTCACGAGTATAAGTGGTTTGGCTCCTCATTTGCGGTCTATTCTTTTGTTCTGGTAGAAGCTGTTTGCAATATTAGGACAGTGAGACTGGCAGCTGCATGGCCAACGCGAAGTTGACCCGATGATATTGAATATAAGTTTTGTCTAAATAGATTTGAGGTGGCCATCTCCAGAATAGCCAGGAGAAAGTGGCCCAAGCATAAGCCCAATCCAACCATTAGCAAGAGGTCCCTCTTGGCCCAATAAATGAAGAAGCCCACAAATGCACCTTAGAAAACCCAGCAAGCCTAGCGGAAGATTACTGATTTTCATCCTATGCAAAAAGGTTCACAGGTGTCACGGCAATAATTTCTAAAAGATCACGTCACTAATAGATAATCAATCTTTAACGGCCAAATATTTTCAGAACAAACAGGGAATCACCCACACTGAGTAGGGACCATTCTAGACTAGGAAAATATAAGCAAACCCTTACCCCCAAGAAAGGAGAGGCCAATGGTATACACTAATCTATAAATGTCTTATTCTTCCTCTTAAGTAATACAAAGTCCAATGAACAAGAGATTTCATTAAAATAAACTAGCCAAATTATTCAGCTTGGTGAACCACTTACAAAAGTGTAATCTTGTTCATTGTTCACTCTCACACACACTCAACATCCAACATTCTACACACTCGCACCACAGGCATGCTTCTCAAGTTCCATAACTTATACTTCCTAGTTTATAACGTTATCAGATAGATTAAGTAAGAATCGAGTTGACCCAATGATATCGAATATAAATTTTGTCTAAATAGATTTGAAATATAACCGAAGCACTTTGAATTCACCTATTAGGTAGATTGAGTTAGAATCGAATTAATATAGTAAATATAACACAAAAGATAGATTGAATTTTAACTTATTAAAGGGATCATCTAATCGATTTTTTTTTAGAATACACTTCGATTTTGATACAAACATAGTAAACAAAATTTTAACTTTTAATGCATCCCACAATCCATCAAAAAAAAATTAGAAATGAAAGAAATTAAAAAAAAAAAAACAGAACGCAACCCCCAAAAAAACCAAAAGAGAACAAGAAATAATTAATTAAGCTAGAGTCCCTCCTTTAATGTGTAAACCAAATTTAGTATAAGATTACCAAAAGAGTAATCTTATACGTAATACCTCGATTTTGATACAAACATAGTAAACAAGATTTTAACTTTTAATGCATCCCACAATCCATCTTTTGATACAAACATAGATGAAACCTTGAAGTCTTTGAATTTTGTAATTTAGCCAGGTATACATGATAGAGTAAGATTCAAGAATTTGTTTTTCTTTCTGTTTCTTGTACTTAAAAATATGGATGTTTTTCTAGAATGTAAGTTTTTTGTTTCTTTTGAATTCACAAATTTGAAGAAATTATGACTTCCATGGTGTTTTGTTTGATTTCTTTCATCTTATGGAGTTACATCTACGATTCACAAGTCATTTTGGTATGTATGTAACAACGCTTGTGGAACTGCGAAATGTTTAATAGTTACTTTGTGTTGAATGTATGTTGTTTGATCTTATTGTGAAGGACAATATATGTATTTACATGACATTAACCATATTGTCAATCGTTGTGTGGAGGGTCTCCAAAAAGGCAAGTGTTTGCCTTATTTTGTTGCGGAGGGTCTCCAATAGACAATTTGTACACTGTGGATGAATGATTGTAAAATAGAGACCTTTAGTCTATCATTGTCATTTTTTTATGTACAAGCATAATATTCGGATTATAATTATGCGTTTGTGTTGTACATTTATTTTTATTTTTTTTTTGCATGATGCATATGATTCTTGTGTTTAAAAGTGTATTGGACAAATTAAATTAAATAAATAAAATTGCAATATTTTTGTAAAAATGCGTAATTTTTTTTCCTAAATAAGACAATATTAATGGATTTGACTTTTTTCATTTCAATCCAAATATGGTATAAAATTGGATTACATTTACTAACATAAGGGTGCAATGGTCATTTTAGTATGTTTGATCTTCACAAGTGAATGAGACCCACAAATCAAATAGTTTATATCTAAAGATGGGATAGAATTTGATACATTACTTTATAATTCTCTAATTCGCACCATTTTGCATTGGGTTGGATTAAGTTCAGATTCAAATCTAATTCTCCCATGGTGATCCAAACACCACCTTTGTGTTTGTTCGAACTGCCTAAAGAAACATGAGATTCCATTGTTCTTTGTGTCTATTTAGATTGAACAGACACTAATAATCTAAACAGTAACGAAAAAGAAAGACACATTTAGAGTGTAAACAGACACATAGCAAAATTAGCGTCAAATTCAAACTATTAATGAACATAAATTTTAAATTTTGGTTGAAAAAATAAGTTTGATCCATGTTTGGATTCGTTTAGTTGGACCCACAACCCGCACTACAACAAATAAATTTTTAACAAAAATATAAGGGTTCTTTGGAAGCCGGTACACCTAATTAGACTTATTTGTAAAAAATTATATAGAACAAAATATATTAGAAAAAAACTACACAGTTGAGATATAAAGACGTAAATGCTCATTTTTGTTAAATTTTCTTTCCTAAAAACTTTACAAGACATTTATTAAGCGCTGAAATTTAGGGTCATTTAATTTAAAATCTCTTATCTTTAATGCACCTTGATTCATGCGTATTTTTGTTTGGAAAGTAATTTTATTTTTAAATTATATTTATGCATTAAATATTTACTACTACTAATTTTATAGGAGAATTTTAATCTTTCGTTTATTTTAGAATATATCAGTTGTTTGAATTTCAAAATTTGTTAATATCCGAACTCCATAATAGTGTAACAAAAATAGTGCAACAAATACACTGTAACAAAGACAGTGTAACAATACACTGTAACAAAAACAGTGTTCAATAGTTTATATATGTGGTAACAAATTCAAAACAGAGATTGACTGTTTTCAATGAAAATATATGTTTGACAAAATATAATAGTACAATATTTTTTGTAAATAGCTTGTTACACTGTTCATATATTAATATAATTTGAAAACAAAACCACTTTTCCAAAAAAAAATACGCATAAATCAAGGTGCATTAAATATAATTTGAAAACAAAACCACTTTCCAAAAAAAATACGCATGAATCAAGGGAGGACATACAAATATGGAATATTAAAGTTCTCTCATAAAACTAGGAGATGTTTAATGCGCATCCTTTCAAAGAAAATACACATGGATTAATGGAGGACAAAAATATCACAAAAAAATCAATAAAATTCAAATAATGTACTTAGATACAAATAAATATCAAAATTAAGGACTTAATTATCTAACATTATTTTATGTGTAATTTTTTTACAATTAAGTTTAATTTGATGTACCCATTTCTAATTTTCTCAAAATATGATATATTTTTAATCCAAGGCCCAAGCCCGACCAGGTTGTGGCAGGCAGGCGACGCATGTGGTAACCAAGGTTGTGTAGAAAAAGTATGGTACCCCTTGGTGCCCAACCCATGAAGCAAACTATGAGTATATTAATTCAACTAGTGTTTGGTTTCTTTCCAATATGGGATAAGCCTTATCTACTACACTTCATTAAACTTAATTCTTTCTATCCATTCAAGTAGGCCACTTTATGGCATAATTTCTCATTCAATGCTTAATAGTTTTGAATAAATAAATATACCACATTAATCACCTTGTGGAGGAGAACATGTTTAACTTGCAATTCTAATTTCGAAGTGTGGTCCTATTTTTATTTAAGCTTAAAATTGCTCAAAAATTACTTTATCAAAATTATTTTTCTAACAAAAAGCATGTTTACTAAAAACACTTTTGTGAAATAACATATTTAGGAAATACACTTTTAACACTTTTCATCTATAATCACTACAACTAAATATTGTTGCACAATAAGTTAAAAGCTTGTTTCATAGTACTGAACACATACTATGTTTTTCCAACAAATAACGTCTTTTTTTGAATCACCTGTGAGATATATAAATATACATACTAGCGATAACTCTTGCCGGAGTTTGTGCATCCCTAAATTTATGAATCATCTCCCAAATTAAGGCTGCGAACACATGGCTACAAAGCAAATTAAAAGATAAACTTACAAATAAGTTCAAACTCCATCAATCAACCTCCAAGTAACCCAAGCAAACATTCAAACTATTTAACCCAAATAATAACTATTTTGGTATAATCCCAAAATTATCTCAATTAATATATGAAAAGTTTATTTTAAAAAAAAAAACACATTCATTAATCCCAAGTGACTCTCTTAGCACAAACATTCCCAAGTAGTCAAAAAAAAAGATAATCTCAAAAAACATAACACCACATGTTAATTCACAATCACAACCAACTAACAACTGCAACCATGTAAATTAGAGACCTTGGTGAAAAAAAGGAGAAAATTTGAAAAGAAAACCAACACGTACCTTTATTTTATTTCCAAGAATCTCCTCTTGAGCATTGTACCATTTAAAAGCAAGTGAGTTTTTGATAGATGGGTCTTAAACATAGAAAATGAACATTAAGTTATCTACTCTTATTTTCGCAACTCTCAAAACACTCATAATAGTTCAGTCCCTTAATATTCAAACTCTTCAATGCTCAACCACATGGAATCAAAAAACAAAAGAAATTTGGCATATTCCTTTAGTATTTTCAATTTAAACATAAATTTTGCATTGAATTAGATTATTGGTAACACAACTCTATCAAGACCTACTTTAGAACTTCAAGTATAAACCAAACCAAATGATTTTTATTGATCAACAAAAATAACATAAAAGCAGACAAAACCAATGTCGTACTCATAGCCATTTACCACCATGATAGACACATAACAATTAACCACCACGATAGACACAAACACGACACCAATGGCATAACCCACTATTGACATAGAACTAACAAAGCGTAGATACATACCAAAGATTTATAAGCAATGATAAAAG